GTAGGCGCGCTGTCTTCTCTGTGGAACCCAACCTTTCGCATCCAGGACGCGGCATTCGCCATGATATCCATGCGCGTGCATGGCTTCCGACCTCAACGTGGCAAACCCGGACAACTTATTATGACAGGGCCCGCTTGGAATTGCTGCCGGGGTTAAAAAAACATATCCAGGAAATGAGTTTCACGCTGCGTGCTTTTGCTGAGGCACCCGCCTGTTTGCTGCGTCATGGTGCACGTGGGCTACTCCGGCAAAGGCTGGGGCATGGGTTTTCACACGACGACGACGACGACCGCAGCAGCAACAACAACAAGAGCAACAACAAACAAACCGAACAACAGCAGCAGCAGCGACAACTGGCAGCAGCAGCAGCAGCAGCAGAAACAGCAACCACAACAACAAAACAACAGCAGCAACGTTGGAGCCGAAAATGAAATTTCGGCTCCAACGTCCTGGCTCCAACCCCCGTCAGGGCCTGGGACCATGGACGGGGTCCGTCCGCGCACTGGGGCCTTCGACAGAGTCCGTCCACAGGCCCTGCCGACGGACTCCGTCCACGGTCCCGGGCCCTGCGGACGGACCCCGTCCACGGCCACGGGCTCTGAGGGGGTTGGGGTCACAACGTTGGAGCCGTTATATTTCATTTTCGGCCGAACAATTTCCTTGTCGGCCCTAACACGGACAAGCTCCGTCCACGGCCGCAGGGTTTGTGGACGGACTCCGTCCTGTGGTGCGGACGGACGGCCTGTGGACGGACTCTGTCTACGGCCCCACTGGTCCGTGGTCCCATGACGGGGGTGGGGGCCACAACGTTGGAGCCGAAACATCTCCTTTTCGGCCCTTACAGGAAAGGCCACAACGTCAGAGCCGAAAAATTTCATTTTCGGCCCTAACGAGGACAGGTTCTGTGCCACAACGTTGGAGACATTTTCGGCCCGAACAAGGACAGGGTCCGTATACGGCCCCAGGGTTGGTGGACGGACTCCGTCCTGCGGTGCGGACGGATGACATTACGGCCCCAGTGCGTGGACGGACCCCGTCCGTGGTCCCAGGCCCTGCCGGGGGTTGGGGTCACAATGTTATTGCCGAAATATTTCATTCTCGGCTCTGACGAGGAAAAGCCACAACGTTAGAGCCGAGAAATTTCATTGTCGACCCAACCAGGACAGGCTCCGTGCCACACCGTTGGAGCCGAAAAATTTCATTTTCGGCCCTAACGAGGACAGGCTCCGTCCACGGCCCCAGGGTTTGTGGACGGACTCTCCGCGGCCTCAGGCCCTGCGATGCGGACGGACGCCCCGGCCCTGTGGACGGACTCTGTCCACGGTCCCAGCTCCGCCCACGCATCACCCAACATACACAACAGAACTTGCCTACTAATCCAGCATTTCTGCGGCACAACGGGTGGAATGGTAAAAACCTGGAGAAGTGTAACAGCAGTGTTCAGCACTTGAGAACATCATCTGGACTCCGGGGTGCAATTCGGCGTGAGTTTTCTGGTCAACCCGATTGCCCGTGCAAAATCTTGCTGCGGAGTCACACGGCCTCCCACGGCGTCCTGCCAGCATCCACGCGGCGTCTTCGCAGGATGCCAGCCACATTCTCGAGAATGACGATCAAAGGCTGCCATTTGCCAAGCAACTCATCCACTTCAAAGAACACTGTGCCGCTCACCCCGCTGCCAGGCTGAAACGGTATCTGCTCCCGCTTCAAGACGGAAAGATCTTTACATGGGAACCCACAGATCACCACATGCGGCGGTTTCTCGATGGAGACATACCTCTTCTGCTTGAAGTCGTAGGAAACCCCATTGATCAAGGAAGACACTTCTCCGAATAGGTGTTTCAACGGCGGGACCAAGGTCTGGCTGAGCAAAACATCACGCTTCTTGCCATCGATCTCACAAGCGAAAAACTCCAACTGCGGCATCTGAAGCCGGGACCACTCCTGGACAAGAGATGCTCGCTTTTGGCACTACTCGCAGAAGCTTCTGACAAACATGTGGCTGGACCCAGGCGACAAGTGGCGGTACATTGATCCACCCCATGCAGTGAAACAGTCTCAAACCCAAAACTGAGCACATAGTCCATGGGCAGGGGCTCCCAGAAGATACATAAAACTACAACAACCAAACACACACACACACACACACACGCATGTCGAGACTCATCGGCGAGAGCATCCACAACCGCATGAGCAATATCCATGCCAGCGCACAAGCTTGCAATTCTCAGATGCCGCCATCGACGAAGGGGCGTCCAGTTACAGGCAGGCAGCATCCTCCGAAAGAGCTGGACCATGTACGTAGACAACGAATAGTTGCATGGCGCCATGCGGAGCGCACCAGCCGCGGCCATATTCTACAGTCGTGTGATTTCCCGCATGCGGGGTGGTTCATGCGCGGGTTAATTTAATGCAACTGCCGCCCTGGCCTCCTACAGGCGCTGCGTAGGAAAAAGGTGGATTCGCGAGTAGACTTGCGAATGTGAATTACGGCCAGGGGATCCATCTCTGCAAGGGTAGCAGGGCATGCGAGGTCTGTCTGCACAGAGGCTCACGGCTGCTGGAAGATGCATGGGAGCTGAAATGGCACATGATCTCTCACGTGAACACAGCATGGCGCGTAAGATCCTAATATAACCTCGGAGCGACATAGTTTTTGCATGTTTGCTGCAGGCAGGCAGTTTGTGTTGGTTTAAAAATCCGCTCCGGAGAACACCGAGCGCACCGAGGACACGGAGGGTGAAATCCCAGCGGTAGCACCACGCATCCCGCGGACTTGGAGAGCTCAAAGCTTTATCCAAACGCATGACGTGGGCCCAGCAGTTCTACTTAACTATAACCATGCCAAAGAAAGGGACGCGAGCGCCTATCATCGCAATGCGGAGGTGCAGTTGCCCAAAATCGCCGTGTCGTTCACAGCAACAGCAACATGACGCAACAGCCGGCACACATTCTGGCCAGGCGAATGTGGCCACAACACCGTGGTTTTCCCAAGTGTACTCGGCTACTACTGCTTCGGCTCGCCGCGCAGTTTTTCAGCCATGATGCATTTGAAACTGACGAAACGAATGCCGTCTACCTTGATGATGACTCCTTTCTGAATTTTACGGCGCTTACCTTTGTTGTGATCTGACAGCTGGGCCTCGCTGGCGTTAACTGTCGTCACCTCAAAAATCGGCTCCGGGGGGGTCTTCATGGCAGCGAACCCTTCAAGAATGTGCTGCGCCTCTGCGCTGCCCTCCCAAGCGACCTTGCTTGGTTGCTTGGGGAAGCTCCCGTTCTTGTACGCGGAGAAATCTATGCCGATCACCTCACAGTCTTTCATAAGGTCGCTCAGCTTAAGCGGTCCTTGGCCGTACCACACGACTGTTGTCTTAGTCGGGGACCAAACTGGATATGCATCCTCGGCAGCAATCCTTGGCGGAGCGGCCATCAGACTGCAGAACACCACCCAACAAAGAAACGGGCACAACGACATTTGCAGAAAAGATACTCCTTGTGGAATTTGCCGTGGGCACAGTCCAAGCGGAAAAACGAAATACCCTTGTCCAGACGAGTTCTCTTCGTCTTGCTCTGTATCCGCAGCTCCATCTTCCCTTCATCATTCTGCAACTGGACCAGCCTCGACTCCGGCGTCTCGTTCAGCGTCTTCAAAGCGGTCTCCTCGAATCTCTTGACCCCGCTCACCCCCAGGAGGGCTGCACTGGCCCGCTAAGAAGGATGGTTAGAGAACCCACAAGAAAGCATTTCGGTCGTGTGCTGTGGGGGATCCGTAACAACCCTGTCAACGGGGTGAGCCTAGGGAGATTTAACAATGTGTTGCTGAGACTGTAGCCTCTCCTTCCCCGGCGGTTCGGTGTCAGCATCTTCCACATCTTTTGGATCGGTGTCAGCATCTTCCACATCTTTTGGATCACAAGCAGTTTCCGTGTTCAGGGATACCGCATGAGGCTTGTCCTTCATCGCCTTGTGCTTCACCTCCGCCACCTGTTCCGGGTTCTGCTCCAAGAACTCCTCAAGCTGGGCTTCCAAATCCTCGTCAGTCTCCATCGTCACGTCGGTCTGAAATTCCGCCACCTGCACAGGAAGCTGAAACAGCATAGGCTCGCGACTAACATCCTGCATCATATTTTGGGTTTTCTGTCTCCTGCACAACAAGCTTCAAGACAGGCTTGCCGCGCAAGACATCCTGCATCATATTTTGGGTTTTCTGTCTGAGCGGAACAACGACATGTGGCACGCCTTCAACGGCCGTGCATCCGCGACATCGGCGCGGCCATCTGCCCGTGCTGGCTCCTGCACAACAAGCTTCAAAACAGGCATGCAGCGCAAGACTGAATGTTGCACCAGGCGCTTCGGTTTGGGTACTTGAGAACACGGGGCATACGCCCACAGGAGTTCTTCCCCCGGTGCGATTGCTTTGGTGGCCTTGAATGAAAGGTATGGGCCAGTGTCGGACCGACATAAGTCCACATTTGGCGTCTTCCGGATGTCGGGCCCCAAGCAGCTTCTCACCAACGTCCACAAATCTCTCTCGTGGGTTCCGAACATCCCAAAGCTTTTCACGCGACTGATACCATCGAGCACCGGAGATATGATGTAGCACTTGTCGCTGGCAGCAGCCGCAGCGTCCTGCAACGGTCTCCACTGCCTCACGTTGATTAGCAGCGCAAGGGGAACAGACCAGAACTTGCTGTGGAGTCTAATTAAGCACATGTTGCATGCAAGAGACTGGTGTGCAGGCACCAGTACAACATCGTCCTTGGAGAATGCCCGCATAGCGAAAAGACCCATCATTCCTGGCAAGGCAATGCTGTGGGCTTTCATGAGGCCCTGGCGCATGCCATCCATCATCTGGAAGAGCTTATCGGGGAGAAAAGATTCTGCATCCGCAATCTCGGCAGCTCCTTTCTCAGCTGGTGGCTTTGCAGTACAAGGCTCCAATGTGACATGTGGGCGGTACATGGCATTGGCCACGGGAGTTTGAACGGCCATCTCTTTCAAGACATCGTCCATCGCCGGCAAGTTCGGGAGGTCCATGGCCATTCTTTCAAGCTTCGTCGTCGTCTCCGACATAGTCTTTTGGAGCACACGGGTCTTGAAATGCAGCGACTCCAACTGCTTGAGTTCGTCACAGACTGCCGTGGACTCCGTGATGACCAGGAGTGGTTGCGGGATGACAGCCCGAGCCACATCCAAACCAAGCAACACTTGGCGTGTAAATCAAGCAGCACCACGACTTTCTGAACATCTGCGACATTGAACGCCTGCATGATCTCCAGCACGCGTTTGCCACCGTCTGACCCCTGAAGGCTGAGTACCTCAATGTGCATGTTTCTTTGGAGCTGGCTTCTGCGAGCATCTTAAAGAAAGAATGCAAAGAATGATTCATCCTGGGTGCTCCAGTGCGCAGTGGGGTAGCTGTCACCATTTTCTGCAGCAAATCCGAAGCGGCCTCTGCGGTCTGCTCGCTTTCGTGGCTGAGAAGGAGCACTGCCGAGGAAAAACCGCTTGAAGGCAGCCGAAGCTGCAGTGGCACTCGTGTAGCTCCCGTCTCCACCGATGCAGAGGCAATGAGGGTCTCGGCCGAGCGCGCAGAGGTCTGAAAGGCTGGAGGCAAGCAGAGCATAACCGCACCACCAGGTTCGGAACCACGAATCATAGCCGTAAGCACGTCCTTGCTCAAGTGGGGAAGGGCATCAACATCAACAATGCACAGTTTGGGCTGAGTCCATTTGCAGACTGCTGTGTGGATGACGTCAGCCTTGGGCTCGGCTGTGGCTAACAACGAGCCCTTGCCATCGCGCATGTTCTGCGCCGCACGCTCCGCTTTTGCACTTGTCAGCACCTGCATGTCTGCTTCATGCCGTTGCACCACGTCCTGCGACTTCATAAAGCACGTCTTCAGCTTGGCGGTGTAGGCATCTAAAGCGGCCACAGGCAGACAAGTGCCTTGATCAGCTTGCTTCTGCCCTTGGAACTCTTCCTCCAACTTCTGAGCATGTTCTTCTGCCTTTTGGATTTCTCTCTGCCGCTCCTCTTGCTTGCTGGACGCCACATGCTGACGAATGAAAGACCAAGCGATGGCAGACGTTTGGGGAGCGCTTGTGCATTGAATGATGTTGTCATAAGCTCCTGAAAGGAAAGCATCCTCCACAGCAGCGAAGCAGATGCCATAATGCAGCTCTTTCACAGCCTGCATGCCGGCTAGGAACTTCTGGGCAATGCCTTTCAAACGGGTCCTTGCTTCGAAAGACAGTTCTTCCGCCCGCTGAAGCTGAATGGTGTGCTTCTTGTTCGTCAACAACAAAGACTTCTGGGACGCCACCGTTTCCATTGTGCGAAGCCTTTGAAAACATACAGCTGGCAGAATCTCAACAAGACTCTTTTACTACTGCTGTGATGCTACTGGACGGCAAGGCGACACAACACAGAGGTGCAGCCCAATGGCCAACGCAGAACCATGAGTTCCCACTCCTGTTCCGTCTGGACACAGTTCGGGCACCGCTGCCTCATGCCCGGCATGAGGAATCGCCTTGGAAACAGAAATAGAGAAAGTCAGAGTCAGAGCTAAAGAGCAAGAGCGAGAGAGAGAGAGAGAGAGAGAGAGAGAGAGAGAGAGAGAGAGAGAGAGTGAGAGAGAGAGTGAGAGAGAGAGTGAGAGTGAGAGTGAGGGTGCTTTTGCCGCCG